GCACCCCCCCCCCCCCCCATAATTTTTACTATAATTTAAATAATAGAGATCAAACTATTAGATTACATACTAGTGTGGAGGCAGGCGGTACAAAGGTGTCACAGATACTACTTTCAGTATATTACTCCCCTTCTTCTCCATGACTTCTACAGTACAGAAGAAGTGATGGAGAAGAAGGGGAAAGATATACTGACTGACAGTGTTACAGCACAGTGCCTGCAGGCTGCAGCTCTCCCGGCTCTCTGTCGTCTGGGTTGGATTCTGATTCCCGCCAAGAAGCACCTCACGTCATCTGGACTGGACCTCAGGACCCCCCTCAGTTACCTCACCTCACGGCCACACCTCCCTTGTCACGCTGTGCTGCTCCCAGGCTGCCTGCTGGGTAATGCAGTCTTCTGGCCGGCAGCAGCTCTCCGGCTCCTCAGTCCCATGAAGATCGCCGCGGGCAGCGTGAGAGTTGCCAGCGGGCAGGGCCAGATCTAATGATAATTAATTATCATCAGGCGGGTCAGAGATAATTCCGTTGCGGGCCGGTTCTGGCCCACGGGCCTTGAGTTTGGCAAGTATGGTTTAGCCAAACCGAAGGGCTCAGTACGCATTATTCTCAATAGCCCGTACAGCAGCCGAAGTGAATAGCTGGGGTCATGGGACTCACTCTGCCCATTTGTTTACATGTCATTTGAGATCAGTGAGCTGGCATGTAATGAAAACAAATGGGTGGAGCGAGTTGTGATGTCATGACTTGCTCTGCCCGTTTGTTTACAATTGGCCCTGATCTGTAATTTTGCGGCGGGTGTTCTGCAGCAGCGGACGGGTTGGAGGGCAGCAGACTTTTTTGATTTCGGCAACACATTGGACATTGTTCAGCATGATTAACGAGGATCTACATCACTGGATGACATGATTGACCTTTGGATTACATTGTTGGACAATCTTTTGGGGTTTTTTTTTTTAAATAAAGGACTTGTCAAAAACTGGCTTTTGTTTTTTGTCCAAATAAAGGACTTTTTCAAGATGTGGTATTTACCCTTTTTGGTACTATTTGGTGAATGAGTACGGGTAACAACTACCCCTTACCCATTCACAAGGGGGGGGGGAGGTGAGGCATCATCTGGGTGTTTTTTGTTTGTTTTTTTACATCAGGGCCCACCCCCCCCCTCCGCTCCTAACATTCCTAAAGAGTCTAGTTAGATGTAGGAGGGGGACCGCACGCTGTTTTAAAAAAAATATATTGACATATTTCATTCTGCTTCACTACCTCTGAGGTAGCAAAGCAGAATGGCCGAACCAAATGCTGAGCCAACAGATCGGCAATTCACTCTCTGCTGTTCGGCCCTTGGGGAATAGGGGTGAACAGCAGGGAATGAACTGCTGAACGGTCGCCTCAGCCAATCCAGATGTTGCATCGACTGAGGCGAACTGGCTTTTCCCTTTGTTTCAGCCAGACATGATGAAGGGAGGTGAAGCAAGACGAATACAGCTGATGTACGGCTAAGAACAACCATACACAGCTGCAGTGAATAGCCGAAGAGCCTTCGGTTAACTTCTCTTCGGCTCGGTTATTCATTCGGCTGCCTTTGGTTTAGAATGATTTAAAACATTACATAGATCACCATTGCTGAAGTAAAGTCACCACTGGGAGCTCATTTCTTTTTTTTTTTTCAGATGGAAAGGGGAAAACGTGGCAACTACTGAAGTGGAAGATATTGTGTCAACAGTGGACTTTATTGACCAGTGTAATGTGTTTGGAGTTCCAGTGCCTTGTAAGTGTGATGTGTAAAAAGTTTTCCAAGACACGAGCATCCCTTTTCTGCCTCCACACTGTGTGTGTGTGTGTAGGCTTTATTATACCATTAAGCAATGGATGCTCTCAGCAAACATAGTGCATGTATATTCTCACTGTTGTGCATTAGACAATGTGTACATACATATAAAAATTTGTCATTTTTTTTGGAAACCTTTATAATTTTTTGCCGTACATGTGCTTGATGTCCATAATAGTAGTCTGTAGTGCTTTCAGAATGTTCTTGTTGCCGACCTTGCCGACCTGTGATCCTTGCCATCTGCCTTCGGTTTGCCATGCTTGACTTTACTCTGTGGATTGCACATTACAGATACAAAGTGAGGCTCTATGGTGGTATGCTTTGTAATACTCACCTTAATAGCTTTTTGGGATTTGTATTTATTTTTTGCTGGTTTATTAATCAATTTATCATGGTAAGATACAGTATTATAGCCCAATTCCTAAGAGTTGAGAATAACCAATTATCAACAAGGTATATCAATCCTAAGGGAGCAAGGGATGCTAAAGGCAAAAAAGCAAATTGTTATATTATGCCAGTGCTTTAGTTCAGTTACAGGCAACCATTGGATTCCTTTCAGTCCCAGTATGCCCTAGTTTGGAGAAGGCAAGAGAAGTGAACAATCTAGGTCAACATAGCTGAGCTGGAAAGTAAGCTGAATTGGAGAATTCCAAATCAGCTATGTTGTCCTAGATTGTTCACTTCCCCTGCCCTATCCAAACCATTCACCCGTTTGTGAATAGCACTGTGAGCATACAAGATTAGGCAATTAACTGACAGAGTTTGCTCAGATTTGTATATGAACAGAAGTTTGAGAATTTCTGGTGATTTTTCTCATCTCTAGGTCTATCTGTAGCAAAACCTAAATGTGATAATTCTTATCCTGCATGGCAAATAATACATGCATAGAAAAAATGCATCTTTATTAAAGGTTCTTTCAAGAATGAATGTGATAATCTCTACTAGACATATCTGTGAGTGGTGTGGCGGAAATGCCCCACCCCCAAAGCTCACCCAGGTCTTTTATATTTAAAAAAAACCCTTTACATAACTTCATCCTGCAGTCTTCCAGCTGGTTTGGTGATGTTGCCTTTCCTTCTTCCTCCGTTGGCAATGGAGGGCAGGCATTCTTCCTGCACTAAGTGGCACTCATGTAATGACATGTGAACACTGCTCAGTCCTGAAGTATTGTGAGTCCAGCCTGCATGCGCACGCTTTCCCTTTGGGGGCTTGTAATGACAGGCTGGGCTCACAGGAAATCGGCAGAATGATATGAGTGTCTGCCAAAAGAGGACTGCTTGCGCTGGACAGAGGAGGAAGTTGGGGGACTTCCCTGGAACATGGAGAGGGTAAATGCAGAGTTGTGATATTTCTTTTTTTTCATAGGAGGGTTAGATCTAAAAATGTTTTAAAATTCCTGGACTTTCACCTTAAATACTATTTAATCTAAACCAGCTTTTTCCAAAGTCTAAGACTTGTCATTTTTTAGTACACATTCAGCCTTGAGTGGTACACTACTTGGGCAGAGAATACAAAAATGGATATTTCCTACCCTGTTAAATTTTTAAACACGCTTTGGGCCATAGTGCTTGGCAGCCATCATGATGGGGGAAAAGGTTTACTATAGTGACACCTCTGGTAGTTTTACCTGTGACCAAAGGATCTGTTTCACTGGGCTTTAGAGCTCTTTTAATTAGATGGTGGTTTTCTCAAACGAGGGGAAGGAAGCCATGTCAAAAATGAAAGTGTACATTCCAGATGCAGGAGCATGAAAGGGAGGTACAGAGAAAATGTATCGCTGTGGTTGTAAACATAGGTAATACCTTTATCTTCCTATTCTTTAACTCAATAGGCTTTAATTCGTTAGGGTACATGACTGTGCTCAAGTAACAATGATCTTAATTTAACAGAAATGTAAAATAAAGGTGATTATTTGTTCATAAAATGTAATGTGTATATATATTAGCGTTAGTGTATCTATTATTTTCAGATCAAGAAGGCAGAATTGGAATGGCGTCAATTAAACTTAAGGAAGGCAAATCATTCAATGGTGAAAAACTATATTCTACAGCTACTTATTATCTTCCCAATTATGCTAGACCTCGCTTTGTCAGGATACAGGTGAGACCTGTTTCAGCAGCATGCAACTTATAATGTTATTCCTTAATATGCAATTTAGATCTTTATCTTCATGGTTTAGAGGTTTACAGTGCACTATAGGTTTAACTAATAAAACCCATTAACTGATGTAGCTGACATTGCATACTTAAAGTGACACTAATCTCAGGAATTAATTCTTAAAAATGCATTAAAGTACCCTAACTTAAACCAGTTTCCTTATTTGTGCATCATTTTGCTGTAGGTCCTCAAATCATCTCTGAATTTTTACTGACACTGTTTTAGGGGACCAATAAACCAGACAGAAACTAAAAGTGCAGGTTTAAAAAATAAAAGAAATTTATTGAAAACAACAATAAACATAAATGGCAAAGATAGATGGTGATACACTGCGCGATTGCTCAAATCTAAAACTGCAAATAAATACAATCCTATGTAAATAGTAATGATACTAGTGAATACAAATATATATAAATAGAAAGAACCGCACTAAAACATACCAAACAGTGTAACCAATTAGTGCAACATAAACAGCTACAAAACATAACTACCGTATTTGCCGGCGTATAAGGCAACTGGGTGTATAAGACAACCCCCTAATTTTCCACTTAAAACATTTTGGTTATGGGTTTTGGGATATACTCGTCATATAAGACTACCCCACTTCCGTGGCACCATTTAAAAACATCATGGATGGATGTGCGGTAATACTGTCTGTACGGTAGCTTCAGCTACATACAGTATACCGCGCTGAGCCGATCACGGCGAACATGTATTCTATTAATGAATACAAAGCCTGCTTGGATTGGCAGAGGTTGTGTAAATCGCTCGCCGTGATTGGCTCAGCGCGGTATACTGTATGTAGCCGAAACTACCGTACATACAGTATTACCGCACGTCCAGCAGGCTGACAGATTAGGGATGTTCGTTTTGGGCCAGCTTGGCCCAAACGAACTAAAGGTATACACTGTATACCCCGCATATAAGACGACCCCTGATTTTCGGGGGATGTTTTTAAGTATAAAAAGTAGTCTTATACGCCAGTAAATACAGTAATTGTCCATGCTGATATGAGGATTCTCACACAAGTGTCCATTTTAAAAATACACATGGAGAGTGAAAAAACATCCACAGCGTTCATGTAAACAAAACAAGTAAGGAGTCCACTCACCAGACTAATAGAATGTAACAGCTGAGCGATTCGTTTTTATGAAATGGATCACAGCTGCAGAGCAACAGCACAGCAGATATAAATAGAGTCAAGTTAGAACCTCAGTACGTCTGCTTCCCTAGACAAAGTCTGTGTGACAAAACGCGTCTGGACTTGGTTCAGGTTTTCCCTGCAGGAAGTGTTTTTTGAGGTTTTCACTGCAGGAAGTGTTAGTGGAGGTCATCAGCTCTGACTCCGCTTCTAAGAACCGATTGACTGCTTGATTGTTACTTGCTTATACACTCTGGCCATCTTGTAAGTGTTTCTCTTTATTTTCCAATACATTTGATCTTATGTACTTCACCATTGGAGTTCTCTTGTTTTTGGGTATGGTGATTGTCCTGTGAGGCATCTCGGAGGAATAGTCTTACCTTTTGTTTGGGGATCACTCATCACCTCCTCGGTTGTATCGCCCGCCATTGCTGTTATACGGATCATTGAGAAATTTGAATATATTTGTCCTATACCTTGGAGGAATTAGGTAAGAAACCCCCGACACACTGTCCTTCCTTCTGGAGGGTGGTGTAAGAGACTTACCTGCAGATTGAGCACGTAAACGCGCGCATATGAGAATGTTTATGCGCAATAGCGCACACACGTGAGCGTACGGAAGCACGCTCAATAGAGTACAGGTGCACGCTCATTAGCGTGCCCACTATCCTATATAAACAGACAAGAACCCATGACCAAGTTGCTGAGTGGTCTTAAGCTTGTCCCTGTGTGCCCTGTACTTTGTTCCAATATCCTGATTTCCTGTGTATGAACCCGGCTTGTGACCAATTGACTCCGCTTTCTCCTTCTGATTCGGTTCCTTTGCTATCTGATCTCCGGTGTATGACCCTGGCTTACGTTTCCTGATCCTGCTCCTGATCTGTGATTCGGCACCTCAAGATTCGGTTCCCTGTGTATTACCTCAGCTTGAACCTGACTTCCCTCCTGGTCTGCCACTTGGTCGATCACTCCATCAGTACCCTGAGCAGCTACATCCAGCCAGTGCTCCATTGGCCTCACACCCTTTGCCTGCTCTGGTTTCAAGAAGTCCCGGTGTCATCCTGGTCCTGCTGATTCACCAGCTGGTCCAATGCACTCAAGCGCCTCCTCAAGAACTGGCCAGCCACCAGTACAGGAACCTGTGCTCCACTCTGTCCTTACATTCCCTATCACTACTTCTTGAGGTGTGGGGCGAGAGGTGCACAGGCAGCCCCCTTCTCAGTCAGGTCTCCAGTCAGGTACATGATAGGTGGCTAATTTTGTTCCCCATGGTTCCTGTGTGTGTTGTAAAGTAGCCACCGCTCTAAGCTTACTTCCGTGATGGACTACAATTTCACATTTAGTTTATTAATTTGTAATAAAGTTATAGTCTATCACGGGAGAGAGCTTGGAGTGGTGGCTAATTTACAACATACACAGGGACAATGGGAAACACAATTAGCCACACCCTAGAGAAAGAAGGACAGTATCCGCACCAATTCAGAGATGATTGAGGAGCTACAGCTGAGTGATACACAAATAAGACAAATTTTTGTTAATAGTTGAGGTACTTGAATGCATTTTTAAGTTTTAACTCCTGAGTTTAGTTTCGCTTTAAGATATTAATGATGTTAACACAATGGGGGGGTTTGACCATGCAGTTTCAACAGTTTGACATCGAAATGGGCATTGCAAAATGCCAAATTGTATCAATCCTAAGATATCATAGAGGTGCACATCATTAATAACAATACAAATGAAGACATCTTAATAAGTGAATTATTGACATATGCCTACCTTATACCAACAAGTTTCAGATTAGCCCATTCTAGGTGTGATTGCTGAGCACCATTATGATTGTTCTTACTCCTATGAACAAATGATTACGTTGTTACCAGAAAAGGGAATATCAGAAACTCAAGGGCAGTTTGAATTGGTAACATTGCTGGATAGTATACAAAGGACCATAGAAATAGAGTAATGAAAGATATAAAAGATAAGGTACAAATATTATAATACAGAACTTATATAACACCAACAGTTTGCGCAGCATTTGTAAGACATGTAAGACATTACAGTTACAATTCAAGACGAGATATTAAGGGGGGCCCTGTCCCTGGGAGCTTAGACTCTAAAGAGAGGAGTAAGTGATACAGAAGATGGTAGCTGCGTGGCGATTAATTGTTTGAGAACGTGATAGTTCAGTGGTTAGGTTGAGGTGGGTTAGGCTTCCCTGAAGATATGTCTTTCGGGATCTCCTAAAGGCAGTCAGAGTAGGAGATACTGGATAGGTTGGGGTAGGGACTTCCAAAGGATTGGAGAGACCCTAAAGAAGTCCAAGAGCATGAGAGGAGTTGACGAGGGAGCTAGAGAGCAGGAAGTCTTGGGAAGAGTGTAGAGGATGGTTAGGGTGATACTTTGAGACAAGGTTGGAGATTTAGCAGTGGAGGGATTGGCAGGGTGGGGGTTGCAGACACTGAACTGTTGGTTAGGTGGATAAGTCTAGCAGAAGCATTCATGATAGACTGAAGGGCGGATAACCTGTGTAGAGGTAAGCCAATGAGGAGGAAGTTGCAATAGTCAAGATGTGAGATAACAAGTGAGTGGATGAGTAGCTTTGTGCTGTCATTGGTTAGGAAGGTGCGTATTTTTGAGATGTTAGGAAAATAAAGGTGGCAGGATTTGGATACAAATACCTTTGCCACTGGGGGCTTATCTAACAAATATAACCACAATATGGGAAATATTCCTGCTCTATTGTTGAAAGGATTTTAAAGAAATTTGGAAATCTTGTATTTGCTTGGGAGTCGGGACTATCCACGTAGTAATATGGTTAGAAACATCCTTTTATGTTCTATGGTTTGCACTAAAGTCTGACCACAAAAAGCATTATTGTATTTTAAGGGATTTCCCTAGAACAAGGTTTCACATATATAAAAAGTTAACAAACAAAGTTGGGATTTTTAGTTGTTGAGAAATATCACTTTAACACAGCCACTTCCATGCCTGATAATATCATCCCATGTTACATAATTAATTACATCTCAATGGATTATTTAAAAAGAGAAATTAATAATTATGCATAGGCTCACTAATGATGTTATCGCTAAGCTGGTTAGACAATGGTAAGTGACATCACTGTTATAAATATATAAATAATAAATCCTGTGCAGTAGTGTAGAAGGATGTTAGAAGACATTAATACTTCAGGTCAGGTATTTTTTATTCTCTCACAAAGTTACCTTCCTGTATCTTTACGGACTACTATAGGAGGTAAATGATCCCGTATGTACCTCCATATTGCCTTGCACAGTGGCAGACAGTGATGGGTAAATGCAGCCAGAAAAGCATTGGCAGATGGAGATTAAAATCTGACAATACCCAACATTTTAAAAAAAAGCTGTTTTATGGCTGTTTTTTTGTGCCTCCTAGGAAGCAATCCTCACACTTCTTGCTTGGCAACAAGGTTTATAGAATATAAATTGCTTTCAATCACATTCTTTTTTATCCAGAATTTACTGGTGCTTTTGCTTCCTGCATAAATCATTGGATAAGTGCATTGGATAGCCAAACAGCTGTGGGCTGGTTATGTTTCTAGGCTGCATAGTCTACTATAGCTATACTTGCTCTCCAGTTTAAACATGTAGTTGATTCTTAAACCCCCCACAAATTTAGGGACCAGCGGTTACAAGGGAGGGGGGGGGGAGCCAGACGCAAGAACGTGATTATAAGATCTTAACTAGGTGGTATGTCTGGTTTCGGTTGAAGATGTGGGGAGCAGGAAGGATCAATGCTCCACATTTGGTGGGAGTGTCAGTTGAACCAGCCCCACTGGCATGAGATATTCCGGATCTGTGATAAAGTATGGACAATGCGGTATAGAGGGTCCTGAAATGAGTTTGTTGTTGATGATTCGGAGTCCTTAGGAGGGAAAAAGCACGGCTTGATCAGATTTATTTCACTCAGCAGGGGATGCTTTAATACCTAGGTTGTGGAAGACAAAAGTGACACATCAGATAGAGGAATGGATAGCTGAAGTTGGATACTACATGCAGATGGAGGAAACTCTAGCCAGGCGAGATAGACAGATATCTGACATTCGTTAAGACCTGGAGTGCATGGATAGATTTCTTGGAAGGAACTAATGTTAATTAGGTTTATATAGACACATACGAGTTGGGGACAAAGAGCCTTCAATGGAGGATCCCTTGTCCACATTCATTTTGTTCTATCTGGAAAAAACCCGACCTCCCTTCCCCTTGCCTTTTTTTTTTTTTTTGTCATGGTGTAAGTGCGGCTGTGTATTGTGGGGCTGTTACCTGGGTGCAGGTGGGGTAGGTGTGCAGGAGTAATTTTAAGATGTAACTAGGAAGGATATAGGATTGGGTAATTTGGTGACTATGGGGAACAACCCGATAAATGAAAGGGGAGGAATTGAGATTAGAACGAGCCGACCAGGAGAATAATTTGGCCTGGTAGAGGGCCGTAATTAGTCTTTAAGATAGAAGTGATGATGTTACTAGAAATAGTATATATCTTCTAGCTGGATAACAACATGACTGTTGCGAAGTATTATGTAAATGTTCTTGTTTTATGTATGCTAAAATTATAAAAAATTGATTTAACAGGAAAATCCAAAACAGTCAAAAATTAAATGTGGGGTTGTTTAACAGACAGATCCCACTAACCATCAGCCCTGCAAATAAAAAAAAGCATGCATCGAGCAAGTTAACAAACCTGATCCCCTAGCTTTGAGATAAAATAAAGAGGGCTTTCACATGTTAAAAAAAAACATGTTAAAAAAAATAACTATTTCAGAACACACACTGAAAAGAAAAAGGTACATAGGGAGAGGGGAACACACACTAAGCAAGGTCGCTAAAATAAAATACAAATCTTCATTATAAAGTGAAAAGTACAGGACACAAAAATACATTTTGGCAGTAAAGTGTACCTCCTAATGGTGTCTTCCAGCAAGTATATACAAAACTATAATTGTAATACTGCAGGTACCCCCTTTTAGTATAAAATCATAAAAGTCTCATTTGACTCCAGTAGTCCATATAGTATCCAATATACAAGGGTGTGCTGCTACCAAATAGTGTAATATAATCCTTGGGTCACAGGTTATACAGTAGCACGGTCATTTTTTACTTTTCTCAGCAGATCAGAAATAAAATGGTCTTACCAGCTACAAAAATCATTTTATCTGCCTGGGTCCTATTAAAGACATTGTTTATATCTCATTAATGACAGACAATGCTTAGAACCTCCTACCTACTACTAATAGATACAACTGGTAACAACATATCTAAGTGCCATCACTGATATCACAGCGTCAGCCTACATAATAAATGGCACATTGTTATTGTTTCCATTAAAGATCACACATAACTTTTAAAGCAGGAACTCGTTATTTAATTTTTTTTAGGCAACTTTCTCCCTCATGTGGGCAAAATAAAAGCCACTAAAGGCACAACTCACCATCTCTGTGTTCCAGCACTCCTTCTCTGTCCTCCAAAGCCATCCTTTCCTGGTTTCAATGGCACCTCAGCCTGGGCACACAAGAGAAAGCTGTATAGACCCACAATCACACATCATAACATGGGTGCCAGTATAGTCAGGAGAAAGGACTGCCCGCTGTTAAGGATAAGGAAGATGAAAAAGGGACCTGGGCTTTTCACATAACTGCATAGACCTGGGAACTTTACGACCCGTGGACCATATCCGACCTTTTGTCTGTCTCTGTCCAGCCCGTGGTCCGGACACAGACTGATCACCAACCTGCTCTTGTTTATGGCTGGCTAACACCTCTAAGGCTGATCATCCAGTGCAAGCCATAACCCTGCGCCGGGCAGGTTGGCGAATGGTGCATGTCTGGACCACATTCCTTTTCAATCAAAGGTTGCTAGGACTTCTGGCGTCCTAGCAACAAATGACATAAGGGGTCCTCCTCCCCTACAGTCATTGGTTGCTAGGACAGATGGGCATTTGCATTGCAGGAGGTAGGTGCATTTGGGGTGCAATTCAAATGAATGGCAACACCAACTCAATGCACCTGTAGCACTGTAACGCACACTCAATGTGTTGCACGGTATCGTGCGTTAAACACTTAGGCACTCCACTGCATTCCGAGTTTCTTATGTGACCCATTAAATTTATTGCCCACCCCTGACATAGTCATTACTGTAAATAGAACAATAACCATTCATAAAAGTAATATTTAGCTGTGTATTTTTTTTAATACAAAACATTCAACACAAAACTAAGGAAAATTTAATGATGTGACTAAAAGCAATTCTTTTAATTGATTACCTTATTTATTTCACTCAGGACTTCATTGACGTGACTGGCACTTTCAAACTTTATAAAGGGGAACTGGCCAAGGAGGGTTTCAACCCCGATGCAATAAAAGATCCTCTGTATTTCTTGGATGAAAATGTTAAATCTTACATACCAATGAGCAACACTATCTACAAAGCAATTATGGAGAAACAAATGCAACTGTAATCTGATGGTAACCTATAATGTTTTTTACTGAAATGAATTCATAATTGTAAATGTGTATTTCTCACACGAAAATGTTACCCATAATCTACGAGCCATGTAAAGTCCCTGCTATATATAGGTGTAAGACATGGTGCTGTAAATGATTGCATTCTTGGAGAGGCTTAGGAATTCGCATGGATAATGCTCACTCCCTGGTTTTAGTGTCTGACCTTTCCTTGGCTGCAGTGATGTTACGGTGGGGCTCATTTCTTGACAATAGGGAAGTCAGTGTAACTGTATATATGCTAATGCTAGATTGTAAAGGTTAGAGTCGATTGTGATACATTTTGCATGCCACCCCATATTCTGCAGGTTCTTCTAAGCCTCAGAATCCTGCATGGTCACCCAAGAACTTACCAGCAGTAGCAGTTTCTACATTGAAGGCATCAGAGATCATACCCCATGTGTTAGCTTATTTTTCACACAATGTTGGGCCACAAGGTGAATGTATTTCCTCTAATCACACAACGGTTACTGGGCTTGTGCCAGGGCCGATGCTTTTAAAGACCAGTTGATCAGTTCAAGTAACAGGGAGACCCTTATACTATCCTTGACTCCATGTCCTCCAGGCATACATCCATCTCTCCCTCCCCATGATACCATTTAATGTATTCTTCCCGCAGGTATAGGCCATATTGCCAGAGTCCTGCTTATCATGTTTCTTAAGGCATTTACTGAACTAAGTAATAGTTAGTTGATAGTAAAAGTAATTTAAAAAAAAAAGTCAAAACTTATATATAATTGGGGCAATCCTTGCTGAGTCTGCAAACATACAAAAAAGAGAGACCTTGTTTCATAGCACTGGATAAAAGTAATGACTGGTTATCGATATCATAATAAGGATAAGGAGTTTAAAATCATGTCTACTGTTTTATATATTTTTTTATTGGATGCAAGGTCTTGCTTTATGCATGGGATCCAGGAGCTTCCTGAACTTCTGTGCAGCTTCTAAGGTTTACAGCAAAGTGACGCACTGACACAGCCCCACAATGCAAATCAGATTCACTGTGATGCCCAGGGAGGTATTTACTTTGTGGAAGATCTCCATTTGGCTCTTTAATGTTTGTTGTGAGTATATCCAGACATTAGAGGGTGGCTTCCATTGCATTATCTGGTTAATCTTTCAGTAAAGACAGTTTTACATTTAACGCTCATTATGGCAGATGTTAACATGTGTTGCATTAAGGCAGTTCATTTATTATGACCATTATGAACAGGGCAGCCATCAGAAATTTTGGGGCCCCTTACACGGCTTTAGGCCGCCCCCCCTCACACTACCACCGTAGGTAGTCTTACCTGCACACTCTTCAAGCAACTTTACTTTCTTCCCCGAGATCTTGGGACTGTCGGCAGCTGCCATTCCCCCACGCTGCAGTCTCCCTGCAACGACGTGATCATCTTGGCGGGCAGCGTCTTAGCAGGCAGCGGTGAGAGAGATCTGAGAGCTGGGTGAGGCGGGGGAGGAGGTGTGGTGCACGGTGCGAAGCGTGCGGCACGTGTGGAGCCACAAACGGGCAAATAATCGAAAGCCGACTAATCAATGATGAAAAACGTTGACAACATTTTTCTTTTTAATCGTACAGAGGAGCTTGCACTCTAATGCAGAATGGCACCAGCTGTAGGGGGACTACAAATCCCAGCAATCTTTTTTGTACAGCAATGCAGAACAGTATATGACTTTGACTTTGGGATTAGCGACCCGCTGGACGCAGGGATTAGCGATGCACTGGACGCAGGGATTAGCGACGCCCTGGACGCAGGGCTTGGCGACGCGCTGGACGCAGGGCTTGGTGATGCTCTGGACTCAGGACTTAGCGACCCGCTGGACTCAGGGCTTAGCGTCACAATGGATGCAGCCCTAAGTGACGCGCTGGACGCAGGGCTTAGTGACGCGCTGGACGCAGGGCTTAGTGTCCCGCTGGTCTCAGAGCTTAGTGATGCTCTTGGCGCAGGACCCACCTCATACCTCACACATACCTGAGAGTGACCCTGCAGAGCCCATCATGCTGGTGGGCTCTGCAGGGGTCTCAGGTGGCCTGGTCAGAGCTGCATCTCCTTCCTTATCTCCCTCCCAGCTCCTCTTACCTGCTCCCCTGGCCTCCTAAGCCGCTGGACTGGCCGGAAGTGATGTCACTTCCGTCCGGTCCGAGATCAGTACAGCAGCGGCGGCGATGGGGCCCCAGCTTGCATCCCCCTGATGACAGCCCTGAATATGAACAGACAGCAAAATATACATTACCTTTTTTTTAGCTAAGCCACGTACCATAATGCATGGTATTTGTTGTGTTGTGCAAATTAATCTTCTGTACAATGCATTGGAGTGACATTCACAATGAATGGCAAAGGAATTCACATAGAGCAGTTACATTGCCATGCGTTGTGGTAACTTAACACACAACACACAAGCACAAATGGGTCCTAATTGTTCAATGGACCAATAATAATAGACATTTTGGCCACATCTTTAAAAATATTTTAAGACTTGCTTGAGTTGCCAACAACCAGTATATCTAAGCCTGGTATATATTCTTTACAACTTTACCTAGATGACTAATTCAATTGTCAAACTTGAATATATAAATTCAGATTATTTGTTCGGTACTCAAATTGCTTTGGCTTGCTATAACATATCAAATCTTTTTTTTAATTATGATTTATTTGTAAATGTCTTAGAATGTTGTACATTTTAATAAAGTGAAAATGTTCACAAGATCTGCTCCAGTGATTGCTTTATTTAATATGTAAACCCCATCTTAGTTTACTGATGACAATAGAATGGCTACTCTCATTAGACCCACTGCTGATCATGTTATTCCTGTGCCATTGTGTTGTGCCCATAAGTCTATTAGGAAATAATGTATCAAGACACAAAACCCCACATGGAAAAAACCGTATAGGAGCCTATGTTCATCATTTAGGTGGGTACAGGTCTGAACAGAGCTACAGAGTTTACTGCTAGTCGCTTTCACTCTTATTCTTCATCACCTTCAGACTTTATTACATCAGCAATGCAGCGCCTCATGACAACTAGTCATAAAGAGCTTTTTTTTTTCATACTTGTTGGACCTGATAAAGGGTCCATTCACACCAGTAGCCTTTCACACCGCACGGCTGCTGGTGTGCGTGTGCCCGGCACACTGCTCCTTTTTTTTTCAATGTTACAAGTTATATTTCATTATGTTCTATGGGCACAGTGTGGTGCAGTGCAGTTGTACTGGGTTGCACTGCACTGCACTGGAAAAAAGTACTGCATGCTGTACCTTCCAAACCCTTACTTAAAGATCCATTAAAATCAAGGTACCCCAAACTAAGCACATCCTAGACTCATCAATATTTAAAGCACATTTAATAAGAAGTGATAGGGAAGGTGGGGTGACTATGCAGACAAGGGTTTACATTTACGTTAGGGAGAGTTAGTGTTACAAGGAGGTTTAATGTGAGATTTGGGATTACACAAAGGATTAGTGTTAGGGTTAGCATTACAGAGAGAGTCAGTGTTAGATTGGGGGTTAGAGAGAGGATTATTGTAAAGGTTAGTGTTAGATTTGGGGTTACGGAGAGGATAAGTGTTGAAGGAAAACTATTGGGAGAGTAAAATGTACCCTTCCCAATAGTCTTAGCCCGTGTGTGACACTGCAGCTGTCACATACCAGCTCTATAGCTTGGGAATTGAGCGATCAAACACCACTGATTGCTCAGCTCATGGCTTCTCCCTGCAGAGAGCAGTGACTGTCTTCCCTGCACCCGGCAGGGATTCCACCCTCCCCTCCCTGTTCCTCCAGTGCTCACTGGAGCGACAAACAAGCGACGGGTGGGCACAGCTGGCTCTGGATCTAGAGAGGCAGAGCCAGCTGTTAATCAGGCAGCAGGATGGATCCTGACAATGTCGGGATCTTTCCTGGCTGGAACGCGGTTCTGCGTCACAGGAGGACAATAGTAAATTCCTGTAAACTCCTGTGACCCATAATAGAACTAAAGCCAAAAAAGGTTAGATTTAGAGTTACAGAGAGGATTAGTGTTAGAATAAGAGTTAGTGTTATATTTAGGGTTAGAAAAGAATTAGAATTAGTGTTAGGGTTAGCGCTATATCTGTGTAAGACTTGAGGTTACAGAGAGGGTAAGTGTTACAGTTAGTGTTATAGGGAGGGTTGGTGCTAGATTTGGAGTTATAGAGATGATTAGTGTTAGGGTTAGTGTTACAGGACAGGTCAGCGTAAGATTTGGGGTTACAGAGAGGATAAGTGTTACAGTTAGTGTTATAAGGAGGGTTGGTACTAGATTTGGAGTTAGAGAGGACTAGTGTTAGGGTTAATGTTACAAGTAGGGTTAACATTTGATTTTGGGTTATAAAGATTAGTGTTAATTAGGGTTGCACAGATACCAAGTACAGTACTCGGTACAAGTACGAGTACATGTACCGATACTTTTGAGCTCCAAGACTAGACTAGAGAAAAATTCAAAAATTAGGAGGCAGCTGTCATTTGTAAGGAGCACACGGAGCTCCTGGGATTTGTACATCTCTGTTTTATTGTATGATCTTGTTTTTATAAGTATAAATAAAGGGATGCCCCAATACCAGTTTTGCGAGTACGAGTACTGGTACTTGCCGAGTACTTACAAGTACGAGTACTGATACATTTTTGTTTATTGACATGTGACAGTTTTGCTAAAACAATACAGACTAATGATTTCAGGACAGCGGTGGAGCGCCAGAGCCAGGTCCCAGCTGCAACCGTGGTAGTTCTCATGAAAATGCCAAGTATCGGCACTGGTACTCGAAAAGTATCTGTGCATCCCTAGTGTTAAGGTTAGTGTTACAGGGAGGGTAAGTGTGGGATTTGGGCTTACAGAGAGTGTTAGGGTTAGTGTTACAGGGAAGTTTACCATTAGAGTTTGGGTTCCAGGGTTTAGTCATTATTGTTAGGATCAGAATTACAGGGAGACATACTGTGGGGAATGGGGGAGTGGGGGGGGTGCTTGGGGTAAGACATCATTCTCTACATTGAGAGTTCT